GCCTGAATTGAGCAAAAAGAACGAAAAATATTCAATCAACATCTTTATCCTTCTCTACCCGTGACATCTGCCATATCTGTATGACATTGTCTTCCGCAACACTTGCTATTTCCCACGGTTCCAGCGAATTGAACGAGAAATCGCACACCGTGTTGGTGTGTCCCCCGTGCAGGAACAGCAGCTCAGGCGGTCCGTCCTCCTTCTCTTCCACTGTTTGGAGTGTCCCCACCCGGTCAAGGTCCCACACGCACACCCGCCTGTCCGTCCCCGAGGATGCAAGAATGTTGCTGAAATGTGGCGAGAACTGCACCTGCAACACCTCCTTCTTGTGCGACAGCAGCGTAAACAGCTCCTTCTGTGTCCTACGCATGTCCCACACCCTTACACTCGTGTCCTTGCTGCCCGTGCACACTACGTTGTCCTCGAGCATCGAGCAGTTGAGCGCGTAGATCTCCGCGGTGTGCGCGTTTTCGATCTTTTCGTGCTTCTTGGTCCGCGTGTCCCACACGATGATGTTCTTGTCATCGCCGCACGAGAAGAGAACGTTCTCGTTGAAAAAGCTGAAGCAGCAGTCGCCAACCACCCCGTCATGTCCTGTTAGCCTCTCCGCCGTGTTCTTCTCGATATCAAACACGCACACGAGCCCGTCTTCTCCCGATGTCGCAAGAACGTTCTTGTTGTTGTAGTTCCACGACAGCCCGTATCCGCCCTTCTCATGGCCCTTCAGAACAAGCTCGGGCATGAAGGCCGTCTCCATGCTCAGGTGCTTCGTGTAATCAAACACGTGCACGTCCTCCGAGTCTGAGCGCGCTGCAATCAGGTTGCTCATCTTGTGGCTCATCCGTGTGCGATTCACGTCGTCCTTAACACGTATCTGCTGCTCGGTGTCCATGCGCACATCGTAGCTCTCCTCGTCGCTGAACACCGTGTCCGGTATCGTAGCACTCAGTATTTTGATGAACTCGTCCTCGTTCTGACTCGTGTGCGTGCTTATCAGCAGCCGCTGCGTTGTGGTGCTGCTCGCCTCGTTCCGCGTTGCCTCGGGGAAGAACTGCACGGACAGCGAGGGCCATGAGAGCGAATGCGTCACCAGCATGTCGTACAGATACGGCGCGTTCTTCTTCCACAGCTTGTACTCCTCGTTGATTATCTTCTGTTCCTTTAGCTTTGCTTCGTCCTCAACACTCATTTTCTGTGTTCTTGTGCCCCTCGGCGGCGAGCAGCAAAAAATGGAATTTGTCCGTTCCTGGGCACAGACGGTCCCGGTGCTTTTTATGACCAAACATCCACCCACGCCCATTTCCACACGTAATGAGCAGCAGCGCAGGTGCGTACCTCTGGCTCTGGCTGCTTCGTCGCACGGTGTTGCAGCACGCACCACCACCTCTCAGGGCAAAGACCGCTTGTCAGGTAAAAATCGTGCCAGAATGTCCAAGACAGCAGCACATTATGGCACAGTACGAGGAGCACGTACGAAAGGATAAAACTTATGTGTCGTATACTGCAGGACATCAAAGAAATGATTGTTCACCACGCTACACTTTGATGCC